TTCGTCAAGAGATAAGTAGACATTATCATCAATTTGATTAGCATAAATTATGGATTTCTTCTGTTCTTCAGATTAAATATTTTTCACCAAGATTTGAGCATACCAGTAAAACCAGAAGTAATTAATGTAACAATTTCAGGTTGAGTATATGGGGATAATTGGAGAGGTAACTGTTGGAGACTAGATAATATGGTATTAATTTTTGGAGGATTTGATCCTTCACTAAGACCCGTCAATATATTCCATTCGTATAATCGTTTAGCAGAAACAAAAATTGAATTTAATTAAAATTAGTTTTCTTCAAAATTGAAGATCAACAGCGATAGCGTCGCAGAAAACCAATTTTATTTGTAGTTTGAGGATTACTTTGGGATAATGAATTTTATTTAACAGTAGAAGATTGGAATTGTTGAGTTAATTGATTTAGTTCATTATCAGTGTTTGTTCGTTTCAGATTGGGTTAGACACAGTTTCAATAGTAGGTTTGCTGATTTTCAGAACGTAAGACCTTTATCTTAGGGGTGAAGTATTATCAGAGGTAGATAATTTAGTAAAATAATTTTTCCAATAGCTTGACAGTAGATTGATCATTTGTAACTAAACTGGTTCGTTTGGAACAGATTACTGGGTAAGATTAAGTAAGGGAGGATCTAAAAATTGTTTAGTAGATTGTGTTTTGAACAGATTCTAAATTGGTTTCTATCTTATTAATTGTTTACCAATTGTGTTTAGCATTGATTATTTATAATTCATTTTGTTCAATAACCTTTTAATCTCATTATCATTACCAGGTAGTTGAAAGGAGAAGCCAGGATTTCAGACCCTTGTTGATTAAGATTATTTCTCTAAAGGAGGATGACTAGAACTAACAGAAGTAATGTCAGAAAGTTTCCATTTATGTGTTGGTGATTGTTATTAATCTTTTGTAATATTGTCAACATATTCTAATAGGGGTAAATTCAAAACCATATTTCGATCATGAATCATACCATTTGTCTAGTGATTTGGACATTTGAGTAGAATTATATTTAGCATAGTAAGCATGTCTGTTAGGATTTATTTTTAGAGGATTTAAAACTCAATCAGTAATTTAATCTAGATCAGGTTTGATTCTTTTGTTGATTGTCATTAATGAGGATTAACTTGGGTGTGTATAAATTCTCTTCGAAATTCAGTTTGAGTTGGGAGACAGATTAAGAAGTAATTTCTCTTCTCGTCTTTGGGTAAAATGTGTATGTGGTAGAATAAACAAGTTACTAATTTGGAGGGAAGTAGTATTATCAATACCTTTTAATTTTAATTTATAGAAGGTTGACCAAGATGGATTTGACTATTTTTCAAATAATAAGGAGTATTTAAATATTTCATCATCAGTTTCAAAATTTCCACGTTGAACCACTAGATGTAACTATGTTCGAGAGGGATTGACTTTGATTTAAATTTAATTCGCAACAGAACCATCATTTGAATTGGATGAAATATCTGGATATCTGTGAATGTTTGAGGATTGTTGTTGATTATGTTTGTTAATTTTCTATTAACAGTAATCATTGATCAGGTAGATCTTCACATTTTTCCATTCAAAATCATCTTGAGGGACATTAGAGTGAGTGATGGTTCCATCGTTACGTACTCACTTTGGATATAAAGTTTATCTTTGGGACTCTCTATTGAGAAGCGGGTATGAAACATTTAAATTAGTTTTGCATACATTTGTAGGAACACGATAAATTAATGCAATATTATGACTTTATCTTCATGATTAGTAAATGAACCATGTAACGAATATTTAATTGTTAATGCATATAAAATATGTGGATCACGTAAACTAGTGGTAAAAATCAGTGAAAACAATTAAATGTACTGGACCTTTTATGCAGACCAGTTTCCATCATACCATTAAAACTACATTGTTAATCAAGAAAGGCGACATCTCATAAACATAATAAAAACAGAAGGTATTTTTACCTACTATGGGTTTAATGGATTAACACCAACTTGATTAGACCCAATATGCATAAATTAGTAACATTATTAAAATGTCTTTAATTAATTTTGCATCAATAATTGACAGGTTTCTCGAGGCTTTTCTAAAGCATAACTTGTTCATTGTTTTAACATGTAGAGTAATTTTAAAAACATTCTATATGAAAGTAGTTTTATAGATTTTTTAATGGTGCCAACTTTAGGTATATTTCCATCCTGCATCCATTTTATCATTTGTATTTCAAATCTTCATCATTTATTACTAATCTTTGATTCTGTAATGGAGGGCAAAGGTTGTTGACGCTAGAACTGACTGATGGAGTTATTCTAAATCATTCGATTCATTTGTTTTGTTTAATTAATACAGTTTTACAGATACCTTAATACATACCCTATTTTAGTTATGCTACAAGACCAAAAATGGTTTTTAGTACAAACTATTCGGAAGACCCCAGGTCCTACACTGCCTACCGCTAAGGACTTACTCTGGATAGGGTAACGAAAGTGGGTGACTTAAACCAGGTGGGATAACAACAACCCGACTCTCTTGGGTTGATTAAGATGAACTGAAAACTCGATTAATTCAAATAAACAACAGAATTGATTATTGGAAGAAACAAAACAGTTAGAAAACAGGAATACAACATAACTAGGCTCGTGACGATACAAAGATTATTTATGTTAGTACTCCAATTAAAACAAATTATAAAGAAAAAAGTCTTTAAAAAAATCACTAAATACCCAAAAATACAATAACTTCAATACATTTTTTTTTTTGATGTATTTTTATGTATTTATTAATTATTAAAAAATATTTTTTCATAATATTTTTTGTAGATACATCTAAGTAAGGCTGGCATCTAAAAAAATTTTTAAAATTTAAAAATATTCACTAAAAATTAAAAAAAAAAACACGAAGTCCTTTTTGAGAACGCAGAAAAATGCCGTCTAAAAAAAGCAGAGTATTTGCGACGGCACCATTTGCCGTCTAAAAAAAGCGAGCATTTGCGACGGCACAATTTGTCGTCTGCAAAAAATCAGAGTAATTTGCGACGGCCAGAAAATACCGTCGCAAATGCTACTCATTTTTGAGACAGCAAATTGTGCGCGCCAATGCTATGTTTTTTGAAAACGGGCAAATGATGCTGGTCGCAAAATACTTTTGATTTTTTTGAGAGGCATTTTCTGCATCGCAAAAAGGACTTTTTGAGACGGCAAGTGGTGCCATGCAAATAGTTCTCGTCTCATATCCCACTTTCTTTAGTGCATAATGGATCCGAGCGGCCTTTTTAACGTGTTGGCTGTCGGCTGCCGTAACGCATAAGCCTCCTCCTTTTTTTGGGCTTCGATGGCGAGTTGTTAGCAACCCCGACAGAGGTTAGAATTAACCCTTATATGATTTTAAATTATTTTAGTTGTAAAATTAGCTTTTGCCCATTAGGTTTAGGCTTACTGATTGGGACGGGGATCGAAATCAGAATAAGATGTATGCCAAAAATTAGAGCAATCGGAGATGGTTAGGCGGTCCCGAACCGAGGCACACGGCCTGACGGCTCCGAAAACCGGGAACCGGACTCCAAAATGGGCAAAATGGCCTACGGCCACAAAATGTAGCTTATGGACATTGAGAGATGGTCTACGGGACCGGGAATGGAATATCTTAAAAGAAACAGAGAAAACCGAGTCTGGTTCGCAAACCGAGGCAAGGCACAGAAGAGGGTTCGGAAGTCCGAAGGCAGGGCTCGCAGCCAAGACTCTGAAACTTCTGAACGAGCACATTATGCAATATCACCAAGTGCTCAACTGGTGACGTCTGAGTCTCAAGGTTGGTCAAAAATGGGGTGTCTACAGCAAGCTGCGATTGATGCAAAAGGTGCAATCCTATGACCATGATTACAAAACATATCGTCTTTTAAGAGGTCAAGAAGAAAAAAAACATTTCATAAATCTTAAATATTGGGTCAATTATTTCTCATAGTGACCAGCACTATGATTGTGATTGTGATTGTGATTGTGGTTATGATTATGATTGTGATTGTGATTGTGAATGTGATTCCTCATTTGGTGGCTGCTCTTTGGTGTTTTTTGAATCATCATCAGAAGTATTCGAGCTTTGGTACACTTATTGGTTTGGGTAGTGGGTTTGAACTTCCCACATCCATGAGTTCCTGCCAAAATTATTCTATTATTGATGGATTTGAGAGAGCAATGTATTTCTTGAATCTATCATAATCTATCAAGAGCATTGTAGAAACTTTTGGTTTCTTCATTAATATGCTTCATACTAGATATGCTTGATAGTACTAATTTAGATTGCACCACCAGGATGCAATCATTAATGGTGCATGCATGCATAAATAGCCTTAGACCCGTCCAAGAATCTTCATTAGAGATACCTAGTCATCTTTGATGAAGCTCTTCTTGGATTGTCCAGTTTGGACAGTTCAAGAGAACAAGTCTGTATTGTAATTAGTAGTTCTACTGCTTATAGTCCATCTCGTAGAGATTTCGTGTAGCAACTCCTTGTGTTCTCCGAGTGCATACTAGACAAGGTGTAGCAGTACACATAGTCTATGTCGTGTATTTGGAGAACCATGGGGAGATGCTGCCGAAATTTCGTTAGAGATGAACGGAGCGGTATGAACTGCTTTTTACAATATAGACTGTGCATTCCTGAATGGGAAAATAGGATGAACCAACATATTAGAGACTAGAGGTGAATGATGTCATGTCGCATGCATTATAAGGTACTTAATTGAGGTTAAGATTAATTAAAATGGAACCGTAATTTTGAACTTTGTTGATTTGGTAGTGACATTTGTAGTGTAAGACAGAGTCAGATGGATAAAAGTTGGATAAATCAACATAAGTTGCACCCGAAATACATACAAGGGGTTAAGGAATTTAATAAATTTGCATGCGAAAATAAGCCGTTGTTGAATGAAGTCACATGCCCATGTAAACGGTGTCGTAATGTCAAATTGGTAGAGAAAGGCCTGTTTGGGGAACATTTAATGATCAACGAGTTTCTTCCAAGTTACACCAGTTGGATTTTTCATGGGGAGAATTTGTCATCGCCTGTGCCACACAATGTGAATGTCAGGCAAACTGATTTGAACGATGGTGATGAAACTTATGAAATGCTATACGAAGGATTTGGACTTCCTCCACCAAGCTTTATTCACGAGGCAGCAAGTTCTGGTATTAAACAAGGTCCAGATGAGAAAACCAAGAAATTCTTCAATTTATTGAAAGAGGCCGAAAGAGAGTTGTATCCTGAGTTTCAGAAGTTTTCAACGCTCTCATTTATTGTCCAGTTATTGCACATCAAGTGCCTTAGTGGATGGAGTGAAAAGTCTTTCACGATGTTGCTCGAGCTTTTGAAGGATTCGTTCCCAAAGGGTGAAACTTTGCCAAAGTTATTTTATGCAACTAGGAAACTTCTTAGGGACTTGGGCCTCGATTATCATAAGGTACATGCATGCCCAAGGGATTGTTCACTATATTGGAAGGAAACAGCTGGTATGGATGATTGCATAGTGTGTCATATGCCTAGATACAAACAGTTTGAGGAGGAGGAGAATGATGTTAAGAAGCAGCAACAAAGAATTCCGCATAAGATTGTTAGAAACTTTTCATTGATTCCAAGGCTTCAAAGATTGTTTATGTCATCCAAAACACCTTCTTTAATGAGATGGCATGCAGAGGGCCAAATTGATGACGGCAAAATGAGACATCCCGCTGACTCCCCAGTTTGGAAAAATTTTGATAATTTGTATCCCAAGTTTGGGAGTGAGCCTCGCAATGTCAGACTGGGTTTAGCAGCGGATGGATTCAATCCATTCAAGGCAATGAATGTCTCTCATAGCAGTTGGCCAGTTATTATAATGCCATACAATTTGCCACCATGGTTGTGCATGAAGCAGCCTCATATGATGATGACATTGCTCATCAATGGTCCTTTTTCACCTGGAAATAATATTGACGTCTACTTACGCCTTGTAGTGGATGAATTGAAAGAACTGTGGGAAAACAGTGTTGACACGTATGATGCGGAAACTAATCAGATGTTTCGAATGCATGCTGTGTTATTGTGGACTATAAATGATTTTCCTGCCTATGCAATTTTGTCTGGATGGAGCACGAAAGGCGCTTTAGCTTGTCCTTGTTGTAATACACATACTCGTTCTCGATATTTGAAGAACGGAAGGAAATTATGTTACATGGGGCATCGTCGCTGGTTGAATGGGGGTCACAAATTTCGGAAAGCTAGTGCGTCTTTTGATGGCACTCGTGAATTTGAACCATGTCCAACTTAGTTATCAGGGGCTAATGTGCTACAACAACTAGGCCCTAAGTTCAAATTGAATTCTAAGCGTAAACAATCTAGCAAACGTAATAGAAATGGGAAAGAAAAGGAGGAAAATGAGGACTCGGGTCATAATTGGAAGAAGAAGAGTATTTTCTTTGAGCTATCATATTGGGAGCATAATTTGATTCGCCACAATCTTGATGTGATGCACATTGAAAAGAACGTGTGTGATAATGTATTGTGGACGATATTAAATGTTGATGGGAAAGGGAAGGACAATTTAAATACTCGTCGAGATTTGCAAGATATGGGAATTCGGAAGGCACTACATCCTCAGAAAAGGGTTGGGAACAAGTATTATTTGCCTCCTGCATGTTTTGCCATGAACAATAGAGAGAAAAGTCTATTCTGCACACTTCTAAAGAATATCAAAGTTCCAGATGGTTACGCATCCAATATTTCTCGTCGGGTTAACCTTAAACAACGTAGCATATCTGGACTGAAAAGTCATGATAACCATATACTCATGAAACAAATACTTCCAATAGCAGTGAGAAATTTGTTACCGAAGAAAGTGGTTGAACTATTAATTGAGTTAAGCAATTTCTTCAGGCAGTTGTGTTTCAAAACCCTAGAGGTGGATGGTCTAAATTGTCTTCAGTCCCAAATCGCTCTTACACTTTGCCATCTTGAGAGAATTTTTCCTCCATCATTTTTCGATATAATGGAGCACTTACCCATTCACCTAGCAGAGGAAGCAAAGATTGCTGGTCCAGTGCAATATCGATGGATGCACTTTATAGAAAGGTGTGTAATTCTACTCCAATATCCATTTTGTATATATTTGATTGTTTATACGTGGAAGTCATGTATGTATCTTTTGTTTATAGGTACCTTATGACGCTTAAATCATACATGCGTAATCGAAGTCATCCTGAAGGTTCAATTGCACAGGGATACTTAGTCGAAGAATGTATGATATTTTGCTCAAGGTACTTGCATGATGTTGAGTCGAAATTGCATCGACCGTTAAGGAATTGCGATGTTAATGACAATCCTGAGATATTAATGGGGCAGACTTTAGGAAAAGGAAAAGGGTTTGTGCTTGATAACACAACATGGGTACAGGCTCATCGGTATATGTTATTTAACATTGCTGCGGTTGTCCCATATCGAGAGTAAGATAGATGCAACCTTTGTCTCATTGTGAATGTATTTATACCAACTATAATTATATCCCTGTACTTAAAATGCTCCATTCCCGAGCGAAACTCTCGACACCG